CGTCCCTCACCAAAATTCATCCATATGTTAAATGTCTAATCCCCAGCATCTTAGAATATGACCTTATTTGGAGAAAGGATCTTTACAGAGTTAATCAAGTTAAAGTGAGGTCTTTAGGGTGAGCACTAATCTACTATTACAGTTATCTTTATAAAAATAAGAAATATGGCCCTGGCCGGTTTGGCTCAGCAGTTAGAGCGTCGGCCTGCAGTCCAGAGAGGCCCAGGTTCGATTCCCGCTAAGGGCACGTACCTTGGTTGCAGTTTGTCCCCGGCCCTGGTTGGGTCGTGTGGGAGGCAGCCACTTGATGTGTCTCTTTCGTGTCGATGTTTCTCTCTCTCTCTCTCTCTCTCTCTTCCTCTCTCTCCCTTCCACTCTGTCTGAACAAAAAATGGGAAAAAATGTCCTCGGGTGAGGATAAAAAAAAAATAAGAAGAAATATGGATACAGAAACAGACATTCAAAGAGAGGTGACAATGTGAAGAGACCCATAGAGAAGACAGCCATCAACAAGCCAAGGAAAGAAGCCTGGAGAAGATCCTAAAAGGAACCAGCCCTATCAGTACCTTCATTTTGGACTTCAGCCTCCCAAACTGTGAGATATTAAGTGTCTGCTGTTCAAACCACCTACTCTGTGGTATTTTATTATGATGGCCCTAACAAGGTAACATACCTAGTGTATAAAGATGAGCAACAGAGAAGGATCTGCTTTTAAGAAACACATGGTACAGCCCTGGCCGCTTTGGCTCAGCGGTTAGAGCGTCGGCCTGCAGTCCAGAGAGACCTGGGTTCGGTTCCCGCTAAGGGTACGTACCTCAGTTGCAGTTTGTCCCTGGCCCTGGTTGGGTTGTGCGGGTGGCAGCCACGTGACGTGTCCCTTTCACGTTGGTGTTTCTCTCTCTCTCTCTCTCCCTGTCTCTCTCTCTCTCTCTCCCTCCCTCCCTCCCACTCTATCTGAACAAAAAATGGAAAAATGTCCTCAGGTGGGGATAAAAAAAACCCAAAAAACACATGGTCCAGTGAGGAGAAAACCAGGTCAATATATAATTTTTAAATTTAGTAATGTATCTCAAATTGCAGGAGATTTCTGATCTCTGAATTTTTGCTGTGTATTTCAGGAAAAAATTTAACACTACTTTCTGTTTACTTCATAGTTTCATTTGTTTGGTAAACAGATTTTTAAAGTTCTGCTTTTTAAAGAAAATTACTTCCTACAGAGGTTCTAGCCTCATAATTTTGTTTTATCTTCTTCCATCTCCCTTGAACTTCTGGCAAGAGCCTCTGGCAGCACTCACACTTTCTTCTCTCACCTCTTCTATCTCCTCTACTTCCTCCCAGTTTAGTCTTCTTTGGTTCCCAATGTCTTACAATGAAGAAAAGAGACATGGAGACATGACTCTGCCTTTTTTGAACACTTTGCAAAGTATGTTCTCCCACTTCAACTTCCCACCTCTGATAAAAATATTACTTCCATACCCTACAAGCTCTGTTAATAGCCTGTCTTTACTATTTCAGATGCTACCCCTTTTAAAATGAGCCAGTTCTAAAAAATTCCTTGAGTCCCTTGTTCTATCACTTTCTATTTGTAAGCTTTTTTTAAATTAATTTGAGAAATTTTATTTTCATTTGCATAAAAAGACCCCCTTAAATGTTAGTGAAATAATAATGTAGCTTAAAGTGTTTGGTCTCTTATTCACAGTTTTCTCACTCTGCAAAACTTTGAGCAGGCTTTCACATAGTTCTTTTTGCCATCAGACATAATAGCAATTGCTGCCATCAATTAAGTACCTACTACGTGTAAGCGTTTGAGCTAAGCATTTTTATTAACTTTTTCTTTTAGCTCACAATAATCCAATGAGGCACACATTCTTATTCCCATTTTGGAGATGCAGAAACTGAGGCTCAGTGTGTTTAGCTTGCTTTCCCAAGATCACACAGTCAGGATACCAGGGGCCAGATAAGAGCCCCACTCTTCCTGCATGTCCACAGTATAACAAGTGTGGCAGCAGAGCCAATGACCTACCTGATATCCAACCCCTCTTCTTCCTTACTAACAAAACCCCATTTCTGAGTAGCAACATACATGTTTAAAAATCCTTAATTGCACTGAAGTCTCTTTAGTGGAGGTGAGTCTTTATCATAGGTTCTGGCCAAAACTAGAGGTCCTAGAGAGAGAATTCCTTCCCAGATGAGAAGTACACTTGGAGAACCTCTTCAGACCGTACATTCTTCCTGAGAATTGGGCATAAAGAACTCAGCTTCCGCATCATAACCACAAGAATAAACCCCCCACTAAGGCTGCAGAATTCAGAAGGAGCCTGGCTCTTGTTGCAGGAGACAAATCCAACTCCATTTATTCAAATGCTCTAATATACTTTCCTACTATTTGTAACTGAAAGCTTCCCCTAACGGATTCACCAAGTAATAATTATATTGCCTGAAGTAGTATAGGTCATAATTTTATTTTGCAAATAAAACTGTTTTTAAAACCTTGGAGCTATGAGCCTGAGCTAACCTACTAGGCGCCTTTGATAACAGTAAACCCAGAAAGGGCTTTTTAAACTAAATTTACTAAATACGAAAAATGTTAGTAATTACTTATAGGAGGCAGGAAAAATGGGGCAGATAGCAACAAAGGTGAGAGATAAGATTTCTCAAAAAATACCTTACTAGGACTTCTGGTCAGATGGCAGCCTAGGTAAAAGCGGTATCGCGTCCTCCCACAACCACATCAAAGTTACAGCTAAACTACAGAACAATCATCATTCAAAACCGCCTGAAATCAAGCTGAATGGAAGTCCTACAACTACGGAATTAAAGCAGCAGCCACATCCAGACTGGCAGGAGAGGCGGGGGGGCAGAGGCACAAGGGCCGTTGGTGAGACAGGCTGGTCCCACACCCATGTGTGGCAGATAAAAACCAGGAAAATACCTCAGCAGGGAAGGTCCTTCCTGAGGACTGAGGGGCCCCCATCCCACTCCAGGTGCCCCGCTTAGGGTTCCAGTGCCAGGAAGAGAAGTCCCCATAACTTCTGGCTGGAAAAACCAGCAGGAACTGAGGCTCAGGGAAGCTGAAGCAGCTGGAGTCCCAGGCAGCTCCTTAAAGGGCCCGCGCCAGACTCTCTCCCTCTAAGCTTGGAGGGGAGGCAGCTCGAGGGGCACCAGAGACATACAGGGAAGAACTGAGCTGTTTGGCACTGGAGCGAGGGCTGGAGAGGGGGCTTTCTCGGGGACAAAAGTGCTGTCAGAGGCCTTTGTTCCTTTGGTGAGCCCTTCCCTGGGGCAGCAGACAGTTGCCATAGCTGGGACTCCACCAACCTGGCTCACAACGGTTGCCCCGCCCTGGTGACTCCCTAAGGCCCCACCCCACCCCACCCAACTTTCAGTCCCATCCAAGCAGTTGCCAGTTGCTTAACCATAGGATTGGCCTGTCTTGGATCCTGCTTCAAGTTTTCCTAAATTCTTTCAAATGAGCAGCATCTGGTCTCAGATAGCCCATACCTCTCGTTAAGTAATACACAGAAACAAACACAGGGAGGCAGCCAAAATGAGGAGACAAAGAAACAGGTCCCAAATGAAAGAACAGAACAAAACCCCAAGAAAAGAAATAAGTGAAATGGAGATAAGCAACCTAACAGATGCTGAGTTCAAAATACTGCTTCTAAGGATGCTCAATGAACTTAGTGAGAACCTCAGTGAACTTAGTGAGGGCCTCAAGAGCATAAAAAAGGACCAGTCAGAAATTATGGATGCACAGTCAGAATTGAAGGAGGCATTAACTGAAATAAAGAATAATTTACAGATATTCAATAGCAGAGTACGTAAATCCAAGAACCAAACCATCAATTTGGAATATAAGGAAGCAAAAAAAGCCCAATCAAACAGAAAAAAGAAAAAAGAATCCAAAAAAATGAGGATAGTGTAAGGAGCCTCTGGGACAACTTCAAGCATGCCAACATTCGCATCTTGGGGGTGCCAGAAGGAGAAGAGAGAGAACAAGAAATCGAAAACCTGTTTGAAACAATAATGGCAGAAAACTTTCCTAACTTGGTGAAGGAAACAGACATACAAGTCCAGGAAGCACAGAGAGTCCCAAACAAGATGAACCCCAAGAGGCCCACACCAAGACACATCATCATCAAAATGCAAAAGGTTCAAGACAAAGAGAGAATCTTAAAAGCAGCAAGAGAAAGGCAGCTAGTTACCTACAAGGGAGTTCCCATTAGGCTGTCAGCTGATTTCTCAAAAGAAACTTTGCAGGCCAGAAGGGAGTGGCAAGAAATATTCACAGTGATGAAAAGCAAGAACCTACAACCAAGATTACTCTATCCTGCAAAGCTGTCATTTAGAATCGATGGCCTTATAAAGACTTTCCCAGACAAAAAAAGTTAAAGGAGTTCATCACCACCAAACCGTTATTATATAAAATGATGAAGGGTCTTTTTGAAGAAAAAGATAAAATATATGAACAAACAAAATGGCAATGAATACATATCTATCAACAATGGAATCTACAAACAAAATGATCAGGTAGAACAGAAACATTCTCATAGATACAGAGAACATTTTGTTGGTTGCCAGGTGGGAGGGGGGTTGGAGGAATGGGTGAAAAAGGTGAAGAGATTAAGAAGAACAAATTCATTGCTAGACTGACAAACCTCAAAGGGAAAAGGGTTGGGGGGGTGGGAAAAAATAAACCAAAGAACTTATATGCATAACCAATGGACACAGACAATAGTGTGGGAAAAGGCGGGAGGGGGGCAGCAGTGGGTAGGAGGGGGTCAATGGGGGAAAAATGTGGAACATCTGTAATACATTTTACATTCAACAATAAAGATTTAAAAAAAAAATACCTTATTATATTGTTTCTATGTTTTTTAACCATGAATATATATAGTCTATCCAAACTATGTAAATAACATTTTAAAAGAAAGAAAATAAATCAGGGAAGGGTATATTATCCTTATATCTTTTACATCAAGAGATTAACAAAATATTACCTTTCTTGGGGCTAGCAAACAATTCAAGGTGCTTTTCTGTAATATTCTTCTTTTCAGCTGCTAATGACTGTAGGCAGATGATAATAATAAAAATAATAGTAACAACAATGTAGTAATTTATGTGACAAGAGCTCAAAATCAACACTATTTTGTAAAATATTCAAAACCTTAACTATACCCTCTTTAACATATTCCTGTTTTCCTTTATTTATATTTACCAATAATTATTCTCAAAGCATTCTCTTCATATACTGATAAATGTATTTTTATATTTTTCCTGAATCTAAACAGAAAGCTGTCTAACATTTAGTTTATAACAGTGTTGCTCCACATTGTAAGTACTTCAAAGTTACATTTACAAAAGTTAATCAGAATATCTCATTGCCAAAAGGTATGTAAGCATTTCATAATTATACTTCTCTTATAAAGAGGATGTTCTGTGTTCTTCTGAGAAGGTTCTTCTCAAATCTTTTCAGAACATTCTCAGTAGGTATCTTTCATATACAAATGAAGAAGTATAAAGGTTCTTCATGGCATAAGGAGGTGAATACAAACTTGCCACAATTATTAAAGGAATTCAAGGACGAGCATAAAAAAAGTAATATACCAATGACAGTGTCTTGAAAGAAAAAAGAAAGGGAATTCGAAAGAAATATAATTACAGTGGCCTGAACACTCAGATCTAAACAATTTTACAACTACAGTAACCCTCGATTTTGCGGATCTCAATTTAATGGACTGTGGATTTAAGACAAAATTTCTGGTCTATATGTCTTATGTCATAAAATTAACTCTTTGTTAATTTTAAAATGCTTTTAACCAAGATGTGCTTACACTTAAGTTAACAAGTTATTTTTTAGTTAATTCACTGTTATTTTCAACAAATATTAGTGAATAAGCCATAAGTTGGAAAAAAAAAAAACACTAGAATAATTTCACAGACATAAATAAATACTACATATCTACAACTACAGTCTACATATTTAAATTCAAGAGTCACTGCTTATAAATAGTGTTCTGTTCCACGAATGATTAGCACGTGATCACACCACATTGCCCATGGTAACTGGTGCTGTTATGGCATGGTGAGACTTTCTGCAGCACTTCTAATGCATGTCGACTGATGTACCTACGCGCGCTAAGCCACACCCAGCCGTGTGCATTGTTTATTGGCAGTGACTGGTGAATGCACACATTTACTAGACCTATTCAGTATAAATTTAAAATTACTGTAATACACATAGAAAACTTTTCTGTGAAATTAAACTTTTCTTACATACTGAATTTTAATTACACAAACATGTCTATATAAATAAAAACAAGTAAACTAAATAATTCAATTTTTCAACATACACATTCAGAAAAACTACTTTACTATATAACAAACTTTCAGCTTTAAAGGACACCCCCTCGCTCAAATCAGTCTATTATATTGAGCTTTTACTGTACGTTACCGAAGTCCCAGGAGTATCCTGAAATCCTTCTTCACACCTGAGCCACGCTTCTGAGAGGGAAGCAGCTGCCCCTACTGTCCTGAGACCTGCTCTTCTGAACTGCGGTGGATGCTCTCCTGGAAAGGATGGGTATTCTATATCCCAATTTCTTTTTCTCTGTAGAGATAATTTTTAAAGAAAAAAAATCAACTTCATTAAATACACATTAAATTGACAATTGAAAACATGGAAACCCAGGAATGGCAGTAGTGAAGGCAGAGTTTTTAGATGTCTCTGAATCCCCACATGAAGAAGGAATAATGAGGTGGCAAAACCAAAAGTGCACAGACAACAATTACAACCAGTCAACAATGTTCCAAATACAAATGGCTCAGGATAAACAATCAGCCCTGGAAACTCGGGCATGGTGTCATATCTGAAAGGCAAGAAGCTGAGAGAAGCAAGGGAGCAAAGAAGGATCTGAGCGCACAGACATCTGATGTTCACTAGAAAGTAGAGGTGATCTGAGAGTGGTATCTGAAAAGGGGTGAGAACAAGGGCTCCACCCAAGATCCCAAGGGGTGGGGTGAGGGGGAGTCATCTAGGATATTCAAAAACCAGTCAGCTAGGACCACCTTCCCAAGAAGGGCCCCAAAGGGAAAAGTGGAATGGAATGGAATCTGCTGGGAGTGGAATCTGCTCAGGAGCACAGGGATGACAGACAGAACAAAACAAAAAAGAAAACGTCCAAATTGAGTGGTGGAGGGGACAAAGCCAAGAAATATCTAAATAACAAATAATAAGAGGCCACAATTTGCAAACTGCAAGGAAACAACAGAAGTTATAAAAGCTATCTCGAATCCTGCCTCCGAAACATTCTGAAAAACTGTAAAACAAAAATAAGCAACAAAAAGTGATCAGAGCCAAATATCATACAATGTTATTATTAGCAAAAAAAAAAAAAAAAAAAGCAAAATAACATTCCCACACATAAAGAAAGCACACAAAGACATGCCCATAAAAAAGAAAAAAAATGTAACCTACTACAGTAGGTCATCAAATAATATTATTAGGTTCAATATCATTTCATTATAATATTGGTGAGAGAGGAAAAAAAAACGATTCCTGGCCTGGCCACTGTTTCAGGACCTCCTCATGTCTGTACAGGTTTTCTTGGGGTACTCATTTCCTCCCACACCACAAAGATATGCATGTGAAGGGACTGGCATGTCTAAATGTCTCGTGTGGGTGAGAGAGGTATGTATGAGTCCTCCCTGTGATGGAAGTGTTCTGTCCGGGGTTGGTTCCCGCCTGGCGCCCTGAGTTTCAGGGATAGACTCTTACTTGCATTTATTAATCTTTCTTAAATGTACTCATAGCTCACATTTATTTCAATGTTTAATATTAGACAAGTTAGGTCTTTATCTAGAAGTTTGGTGGTATTTTTGTGACCAGAAACATGCCATCTAATGAACTCTGTGTATATCAATTAGCCATGGTAAAACTGGTTTTGTCATATGTCACTTCACTTAAAGATGAAGTCTGTTTGTTTGTTTGTTTGTTTTTTGGTACGTGCCCCTAGCGGGAACCGAACCCAGGACTCTCGGGTCCACAGGCTGATGCTCCAACCGCTGAGCCAAACTGGCCAGGGCTAAAGATGAAGCTTTTAAAAACCTTCATCTTTAATGACAACATTAAAAGATGAGCTTACTATATTTCAAAACAAAATTAGGCATTCTGTCCCGAGCTGGTAGCTAGGTTGCTTGGAGCATTGTCCTATACATCAAAAGATTGCAGGTTCCAATTCTTTTTTTCTTTCTTTCGTTCTTTCTTTTTTTTTTTTTCCTTTCTTCCTTCCTTTCCTTCCCTCCCTCCCTCCTTCCTTCCTTTCCTTCCCTCCCTCCCTCCTTTCTTTCTTTCCTTCCTCCCTTCCTTCCTACCTCTTCCTCTCTCTCCCTCTCTCTCTCTCTCTCTCCCACCCCCAACACTTCCTCTCTAAAACCATTTGAAAAATACCCTCAGGTGATACTGAAAATTAATTAATTGATTAGGCATTCAGATTACCAAAATGTTACCAAACTCAAGGGGTTGCCATTTGGGGTGTTATATTCAAGAATGAGATGGGCTGCCATTACTTATGACTTGCAGCAAGTAAATAAGACAGGTACACATTCAAAGCTCTGTCTTCCCAGAGGGAGGCTTAGCCACTGCTTATATATACCATTTGATCAATTATACATTAATTTCTTCTTTGTAGTTGGCTAGTTGATACTACAAAATACTGTGCTACATTTTAATATTCAGCAAGATTAGCATTTAGTAAGAACCACCCAGACCTTGAGACCCTTGTCCTAACAAAAACTCAGAAATGAAATGACAAAACTTAAGAAGTAGAAAATAAAAAATCACCTCATAATTCCCTACACACTTTAAAAATTTGTATGTTAGGATGTACTGAATTGTTTTTGTTTTTGTTTGGTTTAATGCCTATCTTTCAATACTTTTAATTGTGCTAACAATAATTTTGTTCATTTGGATAAACCACATTTTTTTAAATGGATTCCTTAAAGCAATCTGAAAGAGAATAAAAGTAAATGAAAGCTGAGTTCTCTTGATATTTAGAAACTTGTTGAGGCTTCTTCACATTAAGTTACTTGCTAGTTAGTGGCAGAGCTGGATCAAGATTTTAATCCTAGCATCTTGTCAATAAAATCATGGGCAGAAATTATCTCTTTAAAAAATCACCTCAGGAAAAAAGGACTAAATCAGAAGAAACTCAAGAACAAACAGATATCACAGATTATATCTTAAGAGAAATAGAAGGCAATGAGGACATTTTAAAGTTTACCCTTCATTCGTGGACAGGGACAGCAGTGTGGTAACTGCTGGGGGAAGGAGGGTGGGGGAGATGGAAGGGGGGTGCCAATGGTGATGAAAGGAGACTTGACCTGGGGGAGTGAATACACAATACAGTTTATACATAGCATGTTGTGTAACTGTCCACCTGAAACCTGTATGACTTTGTTAACCAGTGTCACTGCAATAAATTTAAATAAATAAATAAATAAATAAATAAATAAATAAATAAATAAAGTTTACACTCCAATGAAGAAAGAGTAAAAGGTTTCAAGAGAAACAGAGTGATCAAGTTTCTCTCAGGATTCAACACACAGATAATAGAAATCTCTGAAGAAGAAAACCAAAGCAATGGGAAAGAACAAATACTAAAATCTACAATTCCATAAAAACCTTTGCTGAAATTCAAAAACAAAAAAGAAAATTACATATTGAAGCACACAACATATCTAAACATATTAATCCAGAAGCAATCAAAAGAGGATATATCCTAGTAAACAGACTTAAGAAATTCTTTGAACCCTGGCCAGGTGGCTCAGTTGGTTGGAGAGTCATCCTGTACACCAAAAGTTTGTGGGTTCCATTCCCAGTCAGGGCACATACCTAGGTTGCGAATTTGATCCCTGGTGGAGGCATGCATGAAAGGCAGCCAATCGATGTCTCTGTCCCTGTCTCTCTCTCTCTTCCCCTGTTCCCCTCTCTCTAAAATAATAAAAACATCCTCAGGTGAGGATTAAAAAAAATAAATTCTTTGAACCTGTAGAAAAAAATACAAATAACTTACTAGTGAGTAAAAATTACACTGATGTTGACAACAATGCTTTATGCCAAAATAGAATAACATATTTAAGATACTCAAGGAAAGAAAACATGAGCCAAGAAATTTAAATCAAACAATAGTGATAACACAGACTTATTTTCCTAGCTTTTTGTTTTGTTTACATACGTGTACAAGAGACATGTATTCATTTCATAAGTTTTTAAATTTGCATTTTATCTTAAGGAATATTTTACATTTGCAGTGAGAATCAAATAAAGGTCAACTACTATGAGCTGATCAGTAAATCAGAAATAAAACCCCTCATCAATATCACTGTAGTTAAAAATATATATATATAGATTAAAACATACCATTGAAATGTCCTTAACTAGAAAAAAGGAAACAAATTCATAAAAAGCAAATTCATCCATAACATAGATGGTATTTTAACATGTAAGTGCTCTAAGCATATTTCACTTATGTAGAGATTCCCATAGTAGGGGCATGTCTATGACAGGCATCTGTCCTCAAGAGGGTTTACCCTCTACCACTGTGCAGAGATCCTGACAACTCTAAAGAAACTCACTTAGTGATCTGAAACAGTAAAAGTGGAAAATCATCTGGTCTATTTAGTATATGTGTGTGTGTGTGTGTACACATACACACATAAGTAATTACTTTAAACTCCAGAATACCTCTTTAACGTATTAAATCAGCCCAGGTCAGATCTTTCAAAAAATGGGTGCTATGGGAGATGGGATAGGCAAGTATAAAATGAGCCTGAACTATCTCGAACCACAGAGTAAGCGAGTGCTCAAGGAATAATGAAAATGTGTCTAAAGGACACCTGAGCCTGCATGAAGGGGCTTCCACTAGCTAAATGTGGGACAATCAAATAAATAATAACAGTAAAAGATTATGAACTACTGAATAAAATAAGAATGAGTCCATATTGATATAAACAAACAAATGACAGATACAGAAAATCAACAATGAATAGTGGGTGAAAGTTTGATGGTAAAGAGGATATTTACATGGTCACAAATCATCTCTCCACAAATTACTTACTAACTTCAAAGGTAAAAATAGTAACTTTAGCCCTGGCCGGTTTGGCTTGGCGGCTGGAGCGTTGGCCTGCAGACCAGAGAGTCCTGGGTTCGGTTCCCGCTAGGGGCACATACACCCCCCCCCAAAAAATAGTAGCTTTACAGTAGAGAAACTGTCAGACATCATCGTGATCAAGTGGCCAATGTTGAATAAATCAACAGTGACATGAAGCACTGACCTAAACACAAGACAGCTTCTCTGATATTCCAACCAAAACACATCACCTCTACCTGTACAGGAGAAAATATCAGGCTGGCCGAAATTGGCCTTCACACCTCAACAATGACAAAGTCAAGAAACACAAAGTCTGAGAAAATGGGTGTTATGGGAGATGGGATAGGCAAGTACAAAATGAGCCTGAACTATCTCAAACCACAGGGTAATCTGTCCCCAGATTAACAGAAGATTAAAGAAGCATGAAAATAAAATCTATAATCCAGATCGGATCTTGAATTA